AGGAACTTAAATTGTCTCATTTGCTAGATCGTTATACTGTGTAAGAGTTTCCTGTATTATGTAGCAATTCTTTGTATCATTTACAACTTGTATTTTATAATTTTTTTTTAGACATTCTGTAAAAATCCTGGAACAGATTCCCGACCGTGTAAACATCATATGATTCGTGTGACTGTGTGTGTCACGAGATCGAGATAATGTAAAAAAATTGCAATCTTGCAATTTATTTTTTATCTGGCACAGCACATTATGCATGATTATACGTGGGGTAGTGAGGAATTACTATGCAAAGCGATCATCGTCTCTTGCTTTTCAGCTGAAGATATTCGAAGAGTTCGGTTAGTTATTCTACGAAACAGAATTCGAGATCTTAGCTTCGATGAATCCCCAAAGTATATAAACGACCTCAATAATTCTTATGCACATACTAGTTATCAAAGATAACATATAAATATCCTATGCTGGTAATGAATTCGGAACTCTACATCCGCTAAAAGCAATGTTACCAAAATAGTTAAGCCACTTTTTCTTCGATACTATATCATATCTACAATTATGAATTGATTTCTCTTCATTCTTTTTAATTTTATCTAAATATGTTTTGAACCATCAAAGAAAAAATAATAATGAATTGGGTCCTATGCTAATACATGGAATGAACAGATATACCCTAGCCCAAGTATTGAGCCACTACTACAGTGATTATGCGATTTCTACAACACAAATACAAAGTCAGAGGACTATCGTCTCAATAGTAGAAACGAAATTTTTGCATAGCCAAGTATACTCGTAATAAGGAACCTGAGGTAGTTGATCTATCAACGCAAAAGATCTCTTACACACTAATACTATAAAAAAATTCGAAATCATATATACCCGGTTCGGATTGAAAAAAAGATTGTTCGTCATTGTTAGAACAGGCTCATTATACTCTGCTGGTAAAGTCCAATTTTATTCTTTTCGTGCCTACGTTTTTTATTATAACGAACGTGACGCGACTCCTTCTTGGACGGTTTCTCTTGCGACATAATAATGGGACTAGAAAAAAAAATAGGCGGAGATAATACTATTCGACAAACCGTTAAGGTTAAAACCCTAGAGCCGATGTCCTGCTCAAGAAGAATAGTATGTACGTATTTTCTTTTGCGATAAAAAAAGAAAGACAGCATACTTCATGTGTAATAATAACCACCTGAACCGCAACAATGATCATTCATCCCCTATTATCATTAATTGGCAAAATGTGTTTCCAATAGAAACGTTTAGGAAAAAAATCAATCTGAGTGAAAAAAATAACGATTGATTCACATTTCGTGTTGGTATATGTCCATTAGGAATTTTTTAGTGTAGAACCAATTAGAAATTCAATATCGCGTTACGTAGTTTTTTAAACGGCAAGTAATATAATGATAATGAGAACATTATAATTGATGTAATTATTGTAGCATATGATTAGGAATTGTACTTGTTGACTCCAAACGACGTTTTCGGGCTAGGGAAAGATGAATACCGATACTATAATTTGCTTATCATTGTTTAATAGACAGAACGTTTTATAATATTCAAATGACATTTACTACACTTATGGTAGTAATCCCGTACTTGATAAAAAACGCATTCACTACAACGGTCGGTGAGTATTTTAGAATTCACTTTATAAAAACCGTGTTTTATTTAAATCTTTGAAATGATAACAAAACAAAATAAATGATAATAAATAAAAAATAATATCAGCGTTAACGGTAATAGAATATTATTGTTCTTTAATTCTAATTTTAACTTTTCAATTTCGTTCAATAGATTTTATCTTATTATTGAAGAGTGAGCAATCAAAAATATTCCTTAAATAATCACACTTATTTATTTATAAGCTAATAATTTTTTAGCATTTCATATATTTGAAGACTAAAGATAAGTAAAATATACTTTTTTATCACTATTTATAAAATACTTTTTTACTATTCTAAATAATTATAATCAAATACTTTATATTTCACTAGAAAAATACAAGAATATTTAGTTTGTGAAATTGTTTTATTGAAATAAGTGAACTTGATCTCAGTTCAGTATATATAAAAATAAAGAAAAGATTAGATATCAACTTCTTTTATTATATAATTATATTTTCAATCTTTCTTTTATTATATAGTCATATTTTTAATTTCTTTTATTACTCTTAATCTTCTTTCTTTTATTATGTGATTATATTCCTAATCTTCTTTTCATTATGTGATCATGTTTTCAACTACTTTCTTTTGCTATACAGTCATATTTCTAACTGTTTTTTTTGTTATGTGATCATGTTCTCAATTTTTTTCACATATAATCATATTTTCAATCTTTCTTTTACTATATAATCATATTTTTAACTATTTTCTTTTGCTATATAATCATATTTCTAACTGCTTTCTTTTACTATATAGTCATATTCTCAATTTTTCTTTCACTACACGATCATATTTTCAATCTTTCTTTCAATCTTTTTTTCACTATATGATTATATTTTCAATCTTTTTTTTTTTTCTTTCATTACATTATCATATTTCTAATCTTTCTTTTTTTTTATTACATGATTATGTTCTGAACTGTTTTCTTTTATTACACAATTATGTTTCTAACTATTTTTTTATTATATAATTGTATTTCCAACAGCTTTTTTTGCTATATAATCATGTTTTCAATCTTTTTTTACTATATAATTGTGTATCTAACTACTTTTTTTTACTATATAGTCATGTATTCAACTTCTTTCTTTTATTATATAGTCATATTTCCAACTGCTTTCTTTTACTACACAATTATGTTTTCAATTTTTCTTTTACTACACTAATCTTTCTTTCATTATATAATCATGTATCTAATTTCTTTTTTTTATTACATGATCATGTTTCTAACTTTTTTTTACTGCACAATTACGTTTTCAACTGCTTTCTTTTGTTATATAATTATATTTTTATTTTTCTTTCATTACATGATCATGTTTTTAACTTTTTTTCTTTTATGATTGTGCACTAGTTTCATTCATTATATAATCATTTTCTTACTGTTAGTTTTTTTTCATGCTATTCTAATAATTATTTCTTCAGATATGCTGCTAAACTTGAAGAAATATTCAGCTTCATACTAAAAAAATTTCTGTTATCAGTTTGATTATGAAATTTAAAATTTAATTAAGTACAATAAACACTTTAGCAAAAAAAAATAATTTATGCATTATATATATGTTGTTAATTCATATTGATATTTGACAATATCATCCATTGCTGGTCGAGTGTTACAAACTGTCCCACTTTTGTTTATGCTGCATCATTTATCCAAATTAGGAATCAATCTATGACTTGTGACTTATATCAGGGATAAAACCCAAATTAGGAAATTTGAAATTTGATTTGAGAAAAGTGGTCTGATTTTGATAATAGAATAGTCGTGGCAGAAAAATTTCTCGATCATGTGAGCGTTATGTGGCGTAATCCAATAAGAACGTCCTTTCGAGTGGCGCAAACCAATATGAATGAGCAAATTTTTTATCAACCCAGCAAAACAAACACGACAAAAAAAGTGAATAATGTAAAAATACGGAAAACAGATATCAAAATCTGGCTTAAATCATTAATAAAAAATACTCTAATCCAAACGATAAAATATCCTTTAAAGTTAATTTTCTGTGATCACGTGATCGAGAAATTTTCCTGCCACGACTAGTCTACTAGATTTTGACTGTACGTTGATAATTGTGGAGGTTATGTAAAATCAATTATGAGATTTCGATGGATGCTTAATTATAATTAATTGCAAACATGTCTTTTTTCGAACTTTTAGACTTATGATAATTCGCACATTACCATTACATCTGATTCCTGTATTGGGCACTTTCCTTTATTGCTATGTTAACAGGTGGATAATGGCTTGAGGCCACCAACTACATTATCAAAACCAATCACAAAATTCGTGTGGCAACAATGAGATAACTTTCTTATGGCGACGGCCACGTTTGAGATGATCCCAATTGCAAACTTCTTGTTTGTTTGGACGAATGCTGTTGGTGCGCGTTGGTGAATTGCTGATGTTATAATCGATAAGCAGAAGGAGTTAAACAGCTCTAGCGGAGTTGGATCTGGTTATGTTGCTTATACCGCTTCACCTAAATCTTCGGGTGTTATGTCATATCAAGTGAATAAATGATTATATATTTTTGGGATTTGGCTTTTAAAATTTATGTATTAACAATTGTATAGTAAATATTTTCATTAATTGATCGCATTCATTAGCAGTATAAAAACACACATATACTTAATAAAATTCACAATATAACATACACATAAACACTGACGGATAAATACTTGACTCTTTAAACAGTAAAAATATATTTTTTTCACTATTAAATTAATCCTTTGGTAATATGCATATCTCGCAATTTACAGTACGTGGATTCGAATATGTGCAATGCCTGCAACTCCATCCTCCTCTCGCATCCGATGAAGCACTGTCTTCTGCTATTGCATCATCGACAGCAACGCTGGGTATTGTCTGTATCGCGCTAAAGTTTACATCTTGATTTCTTATTGGTGCATTATCTGCATTTGAAACAAATTAGAATGTCAGTTATTGTTTTTCCAAATACAAGTAAGCAGAAAAACACAAAACCAAAATGCGGGAACTTACCATTCTCTTGCATTATAGCCAAAAATGTCTGTCATCCGGAATTCTCAGAAAGGGCGGCAGGTAGCAT